GTGGTGCTCACTGAGAGAAAGAAAAGAAACACTACAGGATTAATGGGAAGCCATAGCGTGACCTGCCCCCATAGCCAGGCTTGCTCACCCAGTGAATTTCTAGCTAAAAGACCTCTCTCTGCATCCCATCCCAGTTTAACAGAAAAGAAGGAAAAGCTTGGCATTCATGCTGGTAAAATCCCCCAGGATATCCATTCTCCCTTCCCACGTGCAGGCTGTTCCCTAAAGCTGCAGTTGGAAGACCGGTGCCATAGCTGCCCTGTGAGACCGACACACCAGTCCTGCTGTGCCTGTCGACAGGTTCCTGGGTATGGTCACGCACAAAATGACCTCTCCATGAAATCCTAAAGCACGTTCTGAAACCAAGCTCCTTCTGCTACTTTCTCCTCCTTTTCTCTCCTCTTTTGGATTTGCTCCCTTCCCTCTTGTTTCCTTCATCCCTGGCCCTATATGCTTTTCCTCTCCCCTGTTCTTTCCCTCCCCTGTCCCCGAGAGGTCAAGCAGGGAACCAGGACAGCTCACAGCCAGCAGCTCGGTGTCCTTACTTTGTTCTCCACACTTCACGGGACCTTCGCCTTGCCTTCCCTGTCCTGGGGTGCTGCTAACAGCCTCGGTAGGGAAGGAAATGCCATCCTATAACAAGTCGGTTGGTATATGACATCCAATTATCCAAACAGAATATAATGTAATTTCACCCATGGGCAGCGCTGAAAGGAATGAATTTCCTCGGAGTGTGATGTATGAAGCCGCCTCTGCTATCTCTGTTTGCTGAGCCTCTTGCTTCGTTCCTAGCTCCCTGGCAAATCTCTAAAGCTCAGAAGACGCTGGAGCACAGCACGTTTCACAGCTGAAGAACCAAGATAAACCAGAGACATAGCAGCTTGTTGTTTAAATCCCAGAGCAAACAGAAGGAAATTAATGGGTCTATCTATATCCCTCCCTTTCACTCTTCTGTTTGTATTTTCCTTTCTTGTTTTCTCTCCTCTTTCCTTTTTCCTTTGTTCTCTCCCTTCTTTGTTTCTTGTCACGATAAACATGATTCATGCCACAGTGGCATTCAGCCCTGGGGGCTTTGCTTTACATCAGGGGAACGGCTAGGACAAGACAGGACAGTCGAGGGGATTTAGCAACTTGTGTTTAACTGGCTGCTCCCAGGGATGAGGTACTGGAGGGAGGGAGGATGGAGCTGTGCCGAGACGGGTTAGTTAAATCCTGAAGGGGAGGGCTGGCAGAGGGCTTCTTCCAATCTTACAGCTCGCAGATTTTGATAATACTTTTAAGTAACTTAATAGCTACGCGCCGGTGAGGAAATCTATAGCATTGCTGACTGGCTCTGGGCTGGGACAAAAGTTCAAAGGTCCGGAGGCAGCTATAGGAAGAGAAACACAGCTGGCAAAGTGCTCCAAGCACCCGAGCAGTTTGATTCTGTGATTCTAAGAAAAAGAAGAAAAGGGAGAAGGGGCTGCTGGGCAGGGGTTGCGGGGTTTTTAGCTGATCCCTGGGCCCAGCTGGGTGCTGCTCCAGGGACTGCCGTGGGATTCCTCCAGCCAAAACTGGGCCCAGCTGTGACACAGCTTCGGCATTTCCTGAACTGCCTCATCACAGAATGGACTTTGTGGGACAAAGAGTTGATTTTAGGCTTTCTGATGCTCTGTGCTCTAGGATAAGCTTGAGGACTTCTTTCTGGGCTGTCACCACTCTTGTGAGCTGGAGGTGGTGTCTGTCGTACCAGTCCAAAGATGCAGCCACCCCGCTACAAGCAGAGGAGGTGTGGGATTGCCAGGGGGTAACGGAGTGAAGGTGTGTCGGATCCTGGGCTGTGCCTCTGGAAAAGGCCAAACACATACTTCAGAGGGAAACATAAAGCATGCACTGCACGGCGTTCATCATATAAAGGCATGAAAGTGGAGCACTGAGGACTGTTTGCAGGACACTCTCGGTGTGAAATGGCTTTGGCTAAAGCACTGTGGCTGTGTCTCCTCCCAGGCATTTCTTTGGTTGGCACTGGCTCTGTGCATGCCTCCAACTGGCTGCTAAAGGGGCCGGGCTGCCTCTGTGCCCTGCAGCAGGCTGGGGGGAACTTCTTCCCCCCCCCCCGAGGGCTTGGAGGGGGGCAGGAGCAGACCCTCCTCTCCGCAGCACTCCTCACAGGAGCGAAACAAGCACCCAGCACTGCTCTGTGTGGTCAGAAAGTTTAAAAGCAGCAGTTGTCTTAATCTTCCTGGGCTGGACTGTGATGCGTCCTTTAATTGTAGGATCACACGCCATCTCCTGCATCACGCGACGCATCAAACGGCGCTCTGCAAACTCCAGCTGCACTCTGCGGAGCTGCTGCCTTCATGTTTATTTAAAAGGGCTGGCTGTGAAGCCTGTTAAAAGTACATCCGATGGAAAATGACAGCAAATGGTGCTGAGAGCAGCTGTGCAGATCTTGAAGGCCTGAATGTAAGGGAAACCCCTTCCCTATGGGAAAGGCAGAGGGAGGATTGAGGACAGCCGCTCCTGCCAGCTCTTTTTGTGTTTTCTCTCTCCCACCCTCCTCTGCCTTTCTCCTCGCTGTTCAACGTAAATACCAACCGGTTGCTTGAGGCATCCTTGGCCCTCTGAAGTGGTGGTGCCTGTTTGATCTGCCGTTTGAAAGGACGCTGTAGTGGTTTGGCATGTGTACGTCTTCCCCGCTTCCTTGCTGTGTCTTTGTCAGGGGTATAATTTAGGACTAATTAGTTCTCAGCTCTCAGGCCTCACAAAGGAGCATCAGCACCTGGTGGACTCTATTTGCTAAAGCCTTCATGAAACGGGAAGACGTCCCTCTTTCATCTTATTGTACAAATAATTGGAATAACTTAGCCAGAGTCCCCCGGGACTCCGTTTGTGCTTCGAACACTTCCCTTCAGTGACTGGCTGCCTTGGCAGCCACAGTACAGAGGAGCTGGAAGGGCTCAGACCTCTTGTCCGTAGAGGCTGCCAGCCTTTCATCTGTGTCCCTGGGGGCCCCAATCCTTTCTGAGAAGCCAGATTTCAGAATTTTGCCTCTCCCAGAAAAGAAGGGCAACATATAGGCTTGGAACAGGGGAAGGCTGGCAGGTGGTGTGTGAATGCAGCAGATCCTCTAATGACTCTTGTAGCTTTGTGCTCTGCTACAGGGAGGGTTCTGGTGGACCCTCCAGCTCTGTGTGGTTTGGGGTCGCCCCACGGGCTCCATATAATGGGAGAGGCACACGTGTAGGCTCAGTGGCACCATCTTTGGCCCTGGAATGCCTTAGCATCTTTAAGGCCAGTGGGGTTCACCAGTAAAGGTAATACCAGCTCAGTCAAGCAATTCTGCATGCTGCAGAGTTGAATCCCATTTAAGTCCATAAAGATCAAGATTTCTGAGATCTTTTCTTTCTTTTTTTTTTTTTTTTTAATTTTTTTTTGACATCTTGTCACAGACAGAGCTGAAACGTTTCACATTGCTGGGATTTCAACCTTTTGCAGTCCTTCCACTGTCAGTACCATAATCCCCTCACGCATATTCAATTGCTGCCTTGGGTGATAATTTCCTTGCCTTTAATGTATGTGCACATAGAGGTTGAGTTACAGTTGCTGTGGGAACCATAACTTTGAGCTTCATGATTTAAAAAGAAGAAAAATTGTATTTATAGACTTTATTCATTTTGCTTATGAATCAACATGTTAATATTGATGCAATAGAAGAAGAAAGAGAAACAAACTTCTAAACAGAAAGCATAACATCGAATACTGATCTGTTTATTTTCCTTCTGTGAAGTTCCCCTAACAGGCAGAATCCCCACAATAAAAAGGGAAAAATTACAAACGAGGAAGCAGACAAGGGGGAAGAAAGAAAGCAGCAGATAGCTGAGAGGTTAAATTAAGTTCTTGAGAGATAAAATGTGTACATTTACGAGCCATAGATCACAACGTGTTGGGAACCTCTGAAATCGCTAATTTGAGACACAGATCAGCAGAGCTTGGACCTTAGTGCAGGTGGTTTGAATCACCCTGTTGTTGTACAGGGGGGGTTGTAGGGGAACAAGACAGACACTGAAAAGCACATGGAGAAACCTACAGTCTGCAGTGCTGTGTCCTCGTCACAAGCTACGGATGATGCAGGAGGCTAAAGTGCATTCTGTACATACTAGTTCCTTGCCAGCATGGCTGCTTCTGATGAAGCCCCAAAGTTATCTTCTTTCCATTTCTCTTCAATTTTTAAATATACAAGCCCTTTCCCTCTTGCCGCCTGCAGCCTCTCTTCCGCTGGTCACACTGCTTAGCGTGGTTTAATTTGTTATTGATTTTTACTGAGGTGGTGGCCGTAATGGCAGCAAAGCAGCCCAAGTCACAAGTCACTTTTGAAAAGTGTGACCTGCCTCTTGCCAGCCTGAGAAGAAGATGATTGAAAATGACTGGAAAGGCAAAACCAGTCAGGCCCCTTCAGGAAGTTGTTTGGGTGCACAAAAATAAAAAAAAGCAACATTAGCAATATTAAAATCAGATTCTTTCAAAAGCTTCAGCTGGGCTCCTGTGTGACAGAAATAGCATTGGTTCCTAAACACAGGGCCGGGATTTATTTCCACGGCAGACAGTGGTGGCTGGAGAGGAGTCACCGTAGTGTGTCAGATAAATAACGTGTGTTTCTAACATTATTTTGCACTCTAAAGCCCACAAAAGTCATAATGACCTTCAGCACAATAAATCTAGAGAGTAGGTTATAGATTTAACATTTTAGCTCCTGGATAGCTATTGTGAAAGAGATATTAAATGGGCACTCAGATGGATCAATGGGCTCTCAGAGACACGTGTCCCTGCTCGGGCAGGCTCTGATCAAGGCGCTCAGGGGAGCTCACTTGCAGCCCTGTGCACTTACCTAGGACTGGCTCCAGCTCTTGCTGGGGTAAAGCGAAATTTCAGTGGTTTTATGGGGTCACCCTATTCCTGGGAGCAGAGCACATGGATATTTACCCGTAGAACCTCAGAGCAACCTCTCGGCAGCAGTGATGTGTTAGCACACCCATGTTTTCACCAAGGAGCAGGCATTAGGTGCCTTACCTGGTGCTGCACAAGAGTCCGAAGCAAGGTGAGCCCTCACATGGCAACGTCTGGTGTGGCAGGGAAGTGTCTTGTGTTTTTTTTTTCCTTGAAAAAATTTAGAGTGAATTCCTTAGAAACGTTGGAAATTCTCCCTCTGGAACCTCTCAAGCTATTTTCTCGAGCTGCCTGTACCCGAAGGAGAGAAGCAGCCGTGCTTTCCATGCAACACTCCTTCCCCGAGGCAGGTGGCTGGGCTGGGGACCTGCTGCTGTGCACAGAACAGGCTGAGCTGAGCCCACGTTGGGGAGAGCACGGTGCTCACAGGCCTTGAGAATGGGGTTGGTGATGAAGGCTGTTTCTAGACCTTTCCCTCCGTGAAATATAAAATACCAGATAAATTATAAAAAAAACTTACAGAGAGAGACCATCTGATAAGCAGCCCAGTGTCTCACTCAGCACTTGTTGTCGAGGTCCTCACTGGGCATAAATTGGTCTAACACCACCAAATTCACTGGCAACACACTGACCTGCACCGTGAGGGCTGGGATTTGGGAGGCTGTGGTCTCAGATGGGGTTATGGCTGTAGCTGACTGTGAGAGGTGTTTCTCCTCGAGCTGGGCTGGATGAGATGTTGTGGTATGCTGGCAGAGCAAGTGAGGGTTCCAGCAACATCTCCCCATCTCCTCTTGCAAGGCACGAGCAAGGTTTGGCCGGGGCCATTTCTGTTCTTGTTTGCCAAATATGCTACCTCTGCATTTGCATCACATCAATTATAGCCACAGCAAATATTTGATTTCGGTGAAACGTGCAAGGAAAGGAAACTACTGTTCCTTCCTGGCTCCAGGTGGGCTGGATGTGAGCTGGAGTAAAGGAGATGTGGAGAGAGCCAGGGAAGCAGCTCTCAGCTCGTGGATGAATTGGCATGAATATGTATGAGACTGTAATTGGCTCCCACACGTAACCAAGGTGCCTGAAGGCCCAAGCGTCCTGGCTAATTGTTGTAGACAATTAATAACTTAGATTCTGCTAATTCCATATCGTGCTGTGCAGCTCATTACAGGAGCACAGAGTGAGACTCTCTGCAAAAGCTTCTTGGAGACAGGGAGCGTTCGGGGATCCAGGCTCAGGGGCAGAGAAGGTCACAGCTGGCCTGGCACCATTCACGCCTCAAACCGCAGCGAAGAGTGGTCATAGATCACAGCCACGGCAGGAGACAGTGACCCTCAGCCCGTCTGCCAGCCCTTGGCTCCGTCTTGCAGTCACGGTGAAGGAGAGCTCTCATTCCTCACCCTCTTGCCTCTCCCAGGAAACAGGATCTGGATGAGGAGCCCATTTGGTAGAGCACAGAGTGAAACAAAACACATCCCTCTCCTGTGGCCTGGCAACACACAGACCCTTCTTGTGATGATGCGAATCCCCTAAATCAAAAGCTTCATGAGTCTCCGTTGTGTCCCACCCACAGGGGTTTCCTCCCAGCTGGATGACTGGTGGTGGTGTACGGCTTCCTGAAGCCCATCACCACTAAAAACAAGACTCATTGAGAGGAAATACCAAAAATTGTAGGAAAAGGATGTGTCAGCTGCTCGGTTTGCTCTCTTGCAGGGCCTGGAGTAGATGCAGACAGTGAACGTGGGAGGGCTCGTGCTGGTGTAAGCAATGCCTCCTGCATGCCCGAGGGAAGGCTGCTGCTGTTCTCAAGCCAGACAGTTTTATAAGTAGTCTGAGTGGTGATGGACCCTGGTTTTCAGAATCCAATAAGGCTCGCTTTGCTGGGTTTAATGCTGCATGTGTCACAGCAGCATCCGTCAAAAGCAAACAGCACCTGGGAGAGTGTGGCTCCCTGGTGCCGGAGCGCCCAGGAAATGGATGATGCTCCAAGCTGGGACTCTGCAGGCAGCAGGGCTCACATGGGGGCTGGGAGCAGCTGGTTTCTTATGGTTTTTGAACAACCACCTCCATTAGCTGCCTCTCCCTGCCCCTATCTCTGCTGTTCATACACCTGGGCTTGCTGGGTTTTTAAGTGCACAACTTCAGTGGCTTTCTGTCTTCTATTCCCACTTTAACTTTCTCCTTTTCCCATCCTAAGTTTTTCCCCAGAGTTTCATGCTAGACATTAGATACTTCTCCCTCTGCAACTTTTCTATCCATCTTGCTCAAATCCTTCAGCAGGGATTATGGGGGCTGGTGCTGTGCTCTAGCTATCCACTTCTGCTGTACCATTTTTAATCCCCTCACTTCTCTCCTTCACTCTTGTTCTCTTTTGGCTGTTCTCCCTCCTGTACCCATAAATTCCCTTGCCTTTTCACTTTCCTTCCTGCTCTTTTGGACAGCAGAAGAGGTTCTGCAAGACCACAGTCCTACCTCTGAGGGCTGGGATGGGCTCCGTGTCCCATAGATTGGTGCCAGGGCTTGGATATTGCAAAGAGGATCCCGGGAGGGACCCCGGATGCCCCGCTCAGGAGCAGAGTCGTGCCAGTTACATTGCATAGTTGTAGGGATCCAAGTAATGACAATTCTAAAACGTAACTGCAGGGAAAAATGAGAAATAATTATAAATGAATGAATGTAACAGACTGCTGATGGGCACCGGTAGAACTTTAATCTCTGGGCCTTATTAAAGTAAACATCCCCGCCACCCACCAGTTCTGGCCATTCTCGCTGCTTTGCCATCTGTTGTGGGAAGGCTGGCTGGACAAAATGTCCATAATTTGCAGAATGTCCTCGCGCGAAGCACAGTAAGAAGGCCGCTGATAGTTTTTGGTCTTCTGGATGCGAGGAGGCAAAGCTGGGCTCTCACTACAGGGAGGAGATGTAGACAGCTTCCCATGTAACTCCTTCTCTTCTGAGTTTCAGAATTTGCAAAACTTTGACAGGATTTTATGAAACTCTTCTCATTTTTCCCTGGGGACAATAAATTTCCAAAACCTCCCATGGACTGCAACTTCGACAGAATAATTCTCTGCCAGCACCTAAGGCAGTCGGGGAAGCAAAATAAACAAGTAAAACCCAAGCCACACACACTGCCTGAGCTTAATGCAAATAAATCACAGAAGTATTAAGTTCAGTTCTAAATCTCTCTCTCCATCTTCCTGTTTTTCATGCTGTCTGTTTCCTGCCTAAGAATATTTTATCAATCTACTCGTCTGGGTTTATCTACAGTCCAGCTTTTTCCAGTGGCTCTGTTTTGTCTGTCTGTCTGCCTGCTTGGACTCCTCACTTTACACTAATAACACTGTGTTTGGAAACAGGGGTGTGCCCTAAAAGCAACTGCAAAAGATGTTCCCCCAGCTTCACCTCCCAAAGGACACTTTTTCCATTTTCAGTGACCAGGGACTATTCTGCAACGATGGTTTGAGTTCTCATTTATAGCCACGTGCCAGCAGTCCCTCTGTCCACCCTGGAGGCAGCACAGCTGGGTCTGTCCCCACACTGCTGGGTCAGCCAGCCACACAGACCCAAGCCCACTGACACGGGTGGGACAGGCTCTAGGAAATGACCTGGAGACACTGCAACAGGCAGAGCTGCCCTGCCAGAGCCTGAAGCCACCCTCTTGGGCAGAAACCAAGCCACATCTCCCCTCTGCCTGGGCTGAGATGCTCGGTCACATGCATGGCCCCTGTGCCAGGCATTTTTTGATCCCTGGGAGAGAACCAGCACAAGCATTGACTTCTTTCCCCATGATATTCAGATGTATTCAGGCTGGTATTCAGAGGGAAACACCTGCATGAAGCAACGTACAAAGCATCGCTGTGAATAGGTGGAGGGTTTCAGTTGTGCTCCCTGTTTGCTTGGGGTGTGAAAACAGCACGAGCTTTTATTTCTGGTACAGCATCTAAGGCAGGATGCAGAATGCTAGGTGCAAGGGTCCAGAGATGAAAGACTTAGCTGCTTAGCTTCCCAATGGATAAATAGCCGATGCTGAGATAGCTTTGTGAGCTATTTTAAAGTGGGGACAAAAGATTTATTTGCCAAGCAGTTACCATAAAGAACCCCCACCACTGGGTGTTTGCATATTAGCCATGTGCTCCATTGCTAGGAACCAGCTTACCTCTCTGAGGTCAGGATGGAACGGGATTGATTTACAGCAGCTATGAATCTGGCCTCCGTTTCCCCACACACACTTTTATTTTATTTTTTTTCCAGATAAGTGACATTAACAGGAAAAATACCTGATATAAATGCGTGGAATTGGAGTGTCATCTTCTCTTGCATTAATCATTAGGCCAGAATGTGCCCTGGGTTTGTACGTGCGTGCTGGAACATTTCCCACACGCTGCTGATGGTGATTTACACCAGGAGAGAAAGTTGCTGCTTTCCAGAAATCATTTTCCTTGCTAGGAATTTCTGACCTAGAACCTTCCTAGGAACTTCTTGTTTTCCAGGAATTTTCTGACCTAGCACTTTGCTACTATTTTTTTTTTTTTTCTGGGAATCTTTTCTGTTTTATGGGAATTTTTGCTTTCTGCTAATTTTCTTACCCACAGTCACCTTTGCAGGCTCTCCTGGTTCTCCAGTGGCCAAAGAGATTGGTAACATTTCCAAAGCGGCAGTGGGTATGCAGCCTTATTTCAGCATGTGAATGGTTTAATTTCATTTCTTGTCTTCCTTTTTCTGATTCTTTTTCTGTTCTGGCTTCCTGAACTGGGCAGTTCTTCCACCTGATGCTCAGAAGCATTTTCATACAGCCTCTACCACTATGCAGAACCTGCTGATTGTCCCCACTGCAAAGCTGGTGGGAAAAGGAGTGAGAGAGTGCTTTGCTTAAGCATATTTTATTTTTATTACATCAGAAAGTAATATCTGAAACCCCAAATATTTCAGCTTAAACTAATATATCTTGGGTTCCAGACAGTGCTTCGTAAAGATTTGTGTTTCCTCTGAAGAGCTGAAATTTTTTGCTGGCACAGTAAAGCATTTCCTGAGAAGCTCTTTATTCCCATTTAGGTATTTGGAAACAAACGGCCGGGTCTGAAAAGCTTTGAGCACTCAGAAATTCTGTTACAGGTGATGGGAGCTGCAGGCCTAATGCTCAGGTGTTTAAATATGGATTAGAAAACCTACCTTTGGGCATCCCGATTTGAAAATATTGGCTTTTTATTACCAAAATGCCTTGACTTGTCCCCGGTGTGACTGCTGCTCCTGCGGCGCCTTCCTCCTGCAGGATTTTGCCTTCAGCTCGCTTCTGAAATGCGTCAGGACACAGAGGGCTGTGCGTGACTTCTGTCGGTGACACGGCGGCTGAGGGGACCTGCGAGCGGTGCTACACGGAGGTCAGGCAGCTGCCAGGGCATTTCTGTCAGCGAAAAGCGGTTGAAGAGCTCGGCTAACAGCGCTCCCTCCGCGGTGTCAGGGGCCTCAGGGGACTGGCAGTGGAACACGGCGCTCTTTGCCTCTCCTCACCAGTTAATATTCTCTCTGGTGAGTCATAAGTGAAGGCTGGCGTGAGCCGGCTGGGATTTTTGGCCTCTTTGCGGTGACCTTGCGGAATGAAGCGAAGTTTCTAAATGCCACATTCAGCAGCCTTCCCTCGGTGCTGCACCCAGGGCAGAGCACAGGGGGAGGCACCTGCAGGCTGCGGCTGGCACAGGGCAGCTCTGAAGGGGCACATTGAGAAAACAGCAGCTTACCCTTCAGGGCCAAATTCACAATCACTGGGGGCTGAGAGCAATGAAGGCAGCTGATAAGGAGAGGCAGCAGTGAGCAAATAAATGGCACCCCAAAGCTCTCCCACCACCAGGCTGTAGAGAAGGGAGCAAAAGGCTAAAGGAAGGCCAAAGCAGAGAGAGCCAGGGTGACTTTTTCAAGGTCCCAGAGGGGATCTATGGCAGAGCAACAATGGAAATAGAGGGGTCCTCTGACTGCCATGAGCCTCAGACCATCCTGCCTCTGTGTTGACTGTTATTTTTTGTGTATATCATTATTAATTTGAAGAAAATCTATCTATGGTAAAAGTTCACATCACGTCTCCCTTTCTGTGCTCAATTCCTACTATGATTTGTAGTGTAGAGCCTATTTAGGAAGAGCTCTTTAACTAAGGGGCAGGTAAAATGGTATTTGATGCTCTACAGGTGGATGTGGAGAAGAAGAGGACAATTGTGGAGGGTTTTCTGCACACTCTGGGGCTCGAGGAATAGGGATAGGAATAGGAATAGGAATAGGAATAGGAATAGGAATAGGAATAGGAATAGGAATAGGAATAGGAATAGGAATAGGAATAGGAATAGGAATAGGAATAGGAATAGGAGAAGTAGAAGTAGAGCAGCATTCATGAGAGGAATACCGTTAAGAACAAGGCAACACTACCCTGATTCATCGGTCCCTGCAGGGAGACAGCTGCTGCATTTGTTCTGCTGGCTTCCACCTCGGAGTGACCTGTAATGTATAACGTCACCAGGAGGCACAGAAATGGCCTCATCCCTCTCCCCTTCCCTCTGTCCTCTGATGAGGATGCTGAAATAAAGGAAAGGATGTCATGTTCAAGGTTGCACGGTGAGTCAGTGGCAGAGCTGGCTGGGGACAAGCCTCAGGACTTCTCGAGTCCCTGGCCTGCATCCACTGTGCATTCACTGGCACGAAGCAGCTCGGCAAATCCCGCATTCATTACAAGACAATAAAGCTTTGCTGCATGGGCCTTTTTTTTTTTACAATGTCTCTCAAAACCCAAGACTGATTTGCATTTTAAAACCACCAGTTACAGCTCAGGAAAATGCTATTCAGTAGTTCCCAGAGCTCAGGAGTAAAGATTCTCTCTCAGTTGTTCTCTCCCGGTTCTTCCGCCTAAAATATATCTTGTCCAAATTGCACAATCCTTATTGCTAATGTTTATATCATGAATATTCAGGACATCCTGGGGCTTTGGGACTCCAGTGGAAAGGTGAGCACAGGAGGCACGGCTGCCCTGGTACTCCTACACTCCGAACATGCAGGGTAGAGATGTCAGGGTGAGAAGACTTGTTTGGTTAGGATGCGAGCTCGGGGATCCTAATGCAGTCTGTGCGCCTTTGGGGAGTGCTGGTGAAACTCCATTAAACAGAGCAGCGAAGGCCTTTTAAACAAATAACTTCCATAAAACCATTAACTTCACTTAATTGCAAGGAAAATGCCCCACGCTCAGCAGGGGTGCAGAATACACTTCGCCTCCCTTTACTTCTCTTCCTTTTTTTTGTGTGCAATCTGCAGCCGAGCCTTCCTTCCCCAGAGACCTTCCGAACTGGGGCACCGACCTGCCCCCAAAGCTGCGGGGCTGCACCTGTCAGCAGCAGCAATTTAGGTCTGCACGTGCGAATTCCTGCTGCTGCTTAGAAAAACCTCAGCATCCTGCGCCGAGCTGCACCCCGAGCCCGTCGGGCAGAGCCAGGCTGCAGCTGCGCTCCCTGCCCGAGCTGGGGCTGGCTCCAGCGCCGAGCTGCTGTGCGTGGGGCTGGGGCACGTTTCCCTTCCACTGCCACGGCTGAAGGCTTCCCGGCTCACTGCTGTTCAGATGGTGCCATCTGGCTCCCGCGAAATGCATGAGAAATGGTATCCAATAAAAGAGGGGGCTGGCTGGCCGCCTGCCTTCGCCGCTGCGCTCTTTGGGGAAGGGATTGTTGCTGCAGCTGGGAAATATTTAACATAATTCTGAGCGCTGGTGTTGCCTGAGGAAGAAAGAAGCGGCTGGCAGTTTGAATTCGGGCCTGACCCGGTGGCATCCAGAAGCTGTTTTGCTCGCTCAGGTCAGGGCTGAGGTTGATAAATACATGGCCCACAGAAACAGTTGGTGATGCGGCTCTGTTAACTTTGGGGACAGGCAGGAAACATCGGTTTCCCTAATGCTGCATCGAGCAGGACGTTTGGGATGGGAAAGGGGAGGAAGAAAGGTCTGAGTTCCAGACAGGAAGGCACTAAGAAACAAACGGCAGCACTTCAAAAGGGCTGCAGTGTGAGGGATGTCTCCTACAGAGCATTTTCCCTCTGAAAACATGCTTTACCTGCTGCTGAGTATCCTTTAGGGACTGCCCCCAGGAGCTGTGGGGTGAGGGATGGACCCACAGATTCTCCTGGGACGCAGCTGGCAACTGATGGAGCAGAACCTCTCTGGCTTTGGGGGCTTTTACCCTTTCTTCCTGGGTTTCTTCCTTATTTCCTCCCCACTTTATTATGCTCACTGATATAGTCAAACAGCCTTGCTTTGAGCCCTGGCCTGAACTCCAACATAAAGCAGGCACATGGAGAACGCTGCTCCAGTGGGGAAGGTCTGAACTCAGCGGGATGATGCTGTTCCCAGCTTTGCCACCTCAAACCCTGCTCACCCTTAAGTGCTTGACGTGCAGTGACATTTATGGGGTGAGCCCAGCCCCACAGATCCTGACCCTCGCTGTGTCCCTGCTCCCACCCCCTGGGATCCTGACATTCCCCCTGCCAGCCAGGCACGCACATCCATTTGCACAAGCACTGGCAGCCCCGTGTAAGCTCCAGGGATGTGCTGGCAGCCTCTGCCTGCGCTCACACACACATTTCACCTCGCTGAGCCCAGCTCCTAAGCCAGCAGTGGTGCCTAACAGGAGTTCAGTTACACAGCCCCTCTGCATGGCGTGCCGTTTGGTGCAAACCGGGAAGCCTTTCAGGCAATCAGGCAGTAATAGACCTTGTGGACGCTGCAAGTCCCCCAGATAAAATTTACAAGGCCTGAGAGAGCCTGCCTGGCATTATTTAACGCTTTAGTAATGAGCACCTGAACAGGCAAGATTGCCTGGGTAGTTTTATTCTGCATAGATGAGCAGTCAGAATTTCAAAGAGGGGCCGTAAATACAAGCGCGCGGAATGGCCGATGGTGTCTGATGTTGGCGTGGAAGGCGGTCGTGCTGAGGATATGAGAAGGTGAGAGAGCAGGAATAAAGGGGAAGATGTTTTCCCTCAGCTTCCCGACCCCGAAAGCCTTTCTTTAGCCAGGAACGCCGTTAGGTCCAGCAGCAATCCTTTCCCTGCCTGCCCGTGACCGTGCGCCTCTGCGCACGTGCCCAGGCGGCTGCGAACGCGCAGCTTGCTCAGGCAGGCTGCAGAGCGGTGCTAATGCCTCCCGGAGCCACGTGTTGTTGGTGTCCCCGCGTGGTTAATGAGGATGTGCAGCCGTCTGCGCGCTAGGTGTTCGCCCGTGCACACCGCGGGGTTACTGCAAGCCACAAATTATGCTAATTCTTTGTATCCGCGTCTGCATTGTTAGCGAGGGCTGTAACAGAGCCGTGAAACCATTTTGTACGGGCATGAACAAGAAATGTAGCTGCAGTTTGGTACGGGCTGTGTTTATGTGCACTGATATTGCTGCTCATGTACGGCTCCAACGTGGCTCTGAGTAAAACACATTCGGCGTTGCTGATGTCAACCAGTAATGAACCACTTTTTCATTTTGGCAACACACACCGTTTTGCTGAACATTTGTGAGGCCCGAGGAAGGGAAATGATCGTGGTTAGAGGCTGACGCTCTCTGAGCACAGAGGGGCAGGGATGGAAGCGTAAAGCCAGCTGTGAGAATTTCCACTTTTTGCTAAAACACGCACCATCCGGCATCTCCCATCTCCAAATATTTGAAACCTTTTCTTTCCTGCCAATGCAGAACAGGAAGAGACTGAAATCACAGAGGTGCCATAGGGTGGGACTGGCGACCCTCCAGCCAGCCCCCTCCCATCCAGGTGAGCATTCCAGTTGCTTTTTGAGTGTTGTGAGGACTTCTGTGTGTTTCTGGAGGGATATTTAACAAATGGCTGGCGTTCTGAGCGTCTGTGCATTGCCAGGGGAGGGCTTGCTTTTCTTGTAGGTGCTAGCATAGCAAGAGAAACCTCCAGTCCAGCTAAGGGCTAGCATAGCTCATAGTGTGGCAGAGGAAGGTGCCGTGAGCATTCATGCCGTTGGAAAACCACAAACAAGTTCTAAAAACTAAAGCTGTCAAGTCAGCGTACTGCTGTGTGCAGAGAGGAGAGTGGTACGGATCGTGTGTGAGGTGTGCCAGCACCGCTGTGCCTGCTAGCCCGTGTGGGCATTGCGGGACTTCGTGCAGTGAGTGCTCGTGCAAGGAGGGGAGCAGGGAGCTGCCGTGGGCTCACGCCTACGCCTGGCTGTGCCCGGAGGGCTGTCGGAGCGCTGCCGAGAACGGTGTTATTGTCTGAGTGCTCGCACGCAGCACCGGCTGATAACTCCCTGCTGCTTGCTGCCTCTGCCCTGTGATTGACTGAGCGCTGTCCCTCACATCAGCGTGGGCTCCGCTCGCATCGCTGCCAAAGTTAGGAAAAGCCATTTTTCCCCTTCCCGTACACTTGCAGTTTCCAACCCAATCGCTAGCCCCTCACCACCACCTTCTCTGCAGAAACCCCCGGCGTTGGCAGAAACGCGCCAGGCTGGTGGAATGCAATCTCACTTCAGAAGCCTCATTAAATTTGTATTCCTTGGAGCCCTACAAGGAAGATGCTGGTCTGCCTTTGTCTGCCTGGCTTCCTGCTCACTTCGGGTGATGCATCAGGACGAACATGATGCCTCTGGCACCAGCCGCCTGCCTGGAGACAGACGCAGGTGACAGGCCTTTTTTGCTGTGCCACCCCCTATTTGTTACTTAATTGACAAATCTGTCTGAAAACTGGAGTGGGGTTGATATTTTTTTTTTCCTAGGCACCATCATCACTCAAATAATAAGCAAGAGAATTGGGCAAAGCGCCCTTAGGTCACCAGCCTGATGCAAAGCCGTTCCCATCAGGTGGTTGTTCAGCAATTTACCGACACAACCCAACTCTCGCAGGGGTCCACGCTGCGAACAGGGCTGGGATGGGCGAGCAGAGACCCGGCTGTTCTCCTCTCGCCTCCAAACCCTGAGTGAGTCACAAAAAGCCGGTGATAAATAAACGCCAGCACTCATTAGAGACCGGGGATGTCTTTATCGAGGACTTTATCGGGAAGCCGAGGTCTGTAGTCCCGTTAGAGGTCGGGCTGTGCAGCACACCTCTCCGCACTGGGGCCAAGCACCCCTTTGGAGGAGTTCCCCCAGCACCCAGGACCCCAGCCCAGCGCACCCCGCTGCCCCCCGCCCCGAGCACGCAGCCAGCAGCCCCGTACCCGGCTCGGGACCGCCCGCACCGCTTCGGGGCCGGTCCTGCCTGCAGGGACCGGGGCTGCCTGGCCCCGCTGCCCCCCGCCGGGACCCCCCTCACCCCCGGGGTACCCCCGGGCTCCCTCCGGAGGCCGTGGCGGTGCCGTACCGGGGCCGGGGCGGGCGGGGGCCGGGCCCGGGGCTGGGTTTTATAGCGCGGCCGCAGCGCCGCCCGCAGCCCGCAGGGGCGACAACGACGGCGGCGGCGGCAGCAGCGGGAGGGGAGCTCCGGTACCGCTCCGGGTTCCGCTCCGGATCCGCTCCGGTTCCGCTCCGCAGCCGCAGGGGGGGGGGGGACCGGCGGGGCCGCCCCTCGCCCCCCGGAGGGGGTGGGGGGGGTTACGGCGGAGCGGCGAGAAAAAGCGGCGGGGTGAGGGCTACCGGGGGGGGGGGGGGTCGGGGAAAGCGGCTGGAGGACGGACGGACAGACGGACGGACAGACGGACGGACAGACAGACACAGACGCGGTGCTGCAGGGCGGCCACCCGGCCCCGCGGTCCC